GGGCTCGTCCGGGAGTTGAACCCGGGACCTCTCGCACCCAAAGCGAGAATCATACCCCTAGACCAACGAGCCGGGGTGGCACCACGCCTCGTATCCACAGTCCAAACCAAGCACTTTGTGCTCTCCTGCTCATAACTCCAGAGTGACCCTGGTGGGTCCCAGCACTGGCTGTACTGGCTGGCCTCATCCTTCTGACAGGAGTATTTGCAGTTAAAACCTGCCGCTCTACCCTGTGGCCATGGGGGGCTGCCCCTTGCGCTCCTGGCCTCAGGAAATCCCTGCATGGCCCTTCTTTGCCACCCAGGTTCATGGAAAACGGGAAAGCCTCCTGGCTGGCTCCCCAGGGCGGCAGGCAGAGCCTTTCCCCAAAGGACAGCTCCTTGGGTGTCTGGGGCCATAGGTGTTGGTGGCACCTGGGTGCCCGGGCTGCAGGRCGACTCTCCCTCTGGGCACGATGTGTCCCTGGCACATCCATGCATGAACCCTCCTGGCTCTGGTTATGTCCACTTGCCAAGGGTGGTACTGGCACAGAGGGGGCAGTGGTGCAAAGGCCGACGGGGACAAGTGTATCCTGTGCAGTAGGATGGTCTGCCCATGGGGGTTGTGGGATGTGCTGCCCATGGGGGTTRAGCTCATAAAACCCAACGGCAGTCTTAACATGAGTTGCCCTGCTCAACATGAGCATTGTACAGAAAAGCACTGTGGAGATGCTGGGGCTTGAACCCAGGGCCTCTTACATGCAAAGCAAGCGCTCTCCCACTGAGCTACATCCCCCTGCCCTGGGGCTGCTCTGCCTGCCGGGCAGAGCTGCCCGTCCCATACAGCCCCAGGACTCGGGGACTTTGGACCTTGGCTGCTGCAGAAGCTTGGAGCTCCTCCCCTGCTGCCTGGGGTGCAGRCCCAACAGGAGCTGGGGCCCCACAATGCTGAGCAGCCCAAACAAATGTGGGGCAAGGCTGAAGGGAGAAGCAGGAAGGGGCTCAGAGCAGCTCTGCCTCAGGCAGGCAAAAGCAGCCCAGGCAAGGCCCAAAAGSAGGGCTCGTCCGGGATTTGAACCCGGGACCTCTCGCACCCGAAGCGAGAATCATACCCCTAGACCAACGAGCCGGGGTGGCACAGCTGGGTGTCCGGCCCGCCCCGGTSCCGTCCCGTCCCTCCCCTGCAGCGCCAGGCTGGCACAGCCCCAGCGCCACACAGTTCCCTTGCCAGCGTCTGCAGACAAACCGGCTCCCTGCGCCTCTGCGTGCTGCATTTTCCTTAGCATGCGGGCACCTCACCACGGCTGGGTGGCCCCTGTGCATCTGCATCCCCCTTGGAGATTTACTTTGCATTGCTCCACACCCTTGGCTGCCACTTTCTCAGATCTCTAAAAAAAAAACACAGGGGCCTCAACATCCTGAAAAGGGCCAGGAGCCCTTCCGCTCTGGAGCTGTCTCAGAGACTGCATCCCAGGTAGGATTCCATGTGAGGGAGCAGTCACCCAGGTCACAAAGGACAGAAGTGGGCCTGGACTCTCTTAGTTCATGTCCATCCTGGCTCCCCYTTTTTCTAGCTCTAACTCAGCCTGGGGCCTCTGCAGCCCCAAACAAGCCACAGCCTCAAAGGGGAGGCCCCAGCACAAGCCTGGACCCCCCAAAGTAAAACCTCTCGCTGTGAGCAGGATTCGAACCTGCGCAGGGAAACCCCTATTGGATTTCGAGTCCAACGCCTTCACCCCTCGGCCATCACAGCCCTGGGCRGCAGCACCCTGGGGTGCGTGGGACCCTGCCCCCATCTGCCCTGGGGCACCCACACAGCCCAGCATGCAGCACTAGAGGCTGGGCAGGATCTGGCCCGGTTTCCACTACTGCTTCCTTTTCCCGGGTTCCAAAGCGTTGTGTGCAGAACCCCGTGTCTGCACAGACCCCAGAGCTGGGGAGCCGCATGCGGTGCCGCGCGCGGGGGCAGGCGCTGGGGCGCCGGCTGCGCGGGAGAAGGCAGCAGCTCCGGCCGGCGCTGGCGCTGGCGCTGGGCTGTGCCGGCCGTGCAGCAGCGCTGGGCGCCCGCCAGGCCAGGCCGGGCTGTGCAGARSGYRGCRCRCGGTGGCTCGTTGGTCTAGGGGTATGATTCTCGCTTAGGGTGCGAGAGGTCCCGGGTTCAACTCCCGGACGAGCCCACGTTTTGGACGTCCCAGCTGCTGATTTGGCCCTGCTGGTGCAGGGCTCCCTTGGGAGCCATTCATCAGCTTTCATACCCACCCTTGTGGGTACTCACTGGCAYCCCATCCATCAGCTTTCACAACCCCTGATGACCGTAGTACCCCCTGGTCGTCAGGGCTTTGATCTTGGTGGGGTGAGTAAAGCTGTTCCCCAAACCTGGAAGTCCTGGCTCCATGATGCCCCCAGCCCAAACAGTGGGTGAGGAGCTGCCAGGCCCTGCTGTGGCAACCTTGCCACAACGCAGAGCACAGGGCGCCTGGGCCAGGTGATGACGGCCAGGTGCTGCAGGGCCACCCTGGGTGCTGTGTGTGTGGGCAGCAGCCACACATGGCGCCATGGCTTAGCTGGTTAAAGCGCCTGTCTAGTAAACAGGAGATCCTGGGTTCAACTCCCAGTGGTGCCTGTCCCGGGACAATGCTTTTCTCTATCATACACACAGACCTCGCCTCCAGAGCCCAGCTCTGGCTGTGGGCATCACTGGGGATTGCTTCCTGGCCACTGCCAGGAAGACCTGTTGCCCCCTCATGTAGGCCTGCACACCGGCATGGAGGTGACATGGCCAAAGCAGAAGCCAGCAGTGCATCCTAGCTGGTACTAGGTCCCTTGTTCAGCTCACCTGATAAAGGGTCCCCTTCCCCCAACAGAAACGTTTGAGAGGGTGATTACTGCAGAAAGTGCCTGTTAGAGAGTAAGATGATAGCCCTTCAGGAGCAGATGGTGCTGCCAAAAAGCTGCTCATGTGGTTGTGAAATGGTGGCGAGGTAGTTGCTTCCGGCGGGCGCATGCAAAAGAAATTGGAGAAGCAGCTTCCTCAGTGGTGTCTTTTCCCATTCCTTCCTCAGCAGCCCCAGATGTCTCCCAGATCGGATAAGGAGGAAGGCGGAGTGTGTGTACCCCACATTAGACATACTGGGAGCTGAGCTATGGYCCTTGGAGGAGCTGCTGGTGCTTGGGGCATCCTGCAGCTTTCAGTGCTCCTGGAAGAAGACCTAAGCAAGGAGTTGGTGGTTCAGCTCCTGCCCTCCCCACCCCCAGGAGATGGGATTAGCCCTCTCTGGCAGCTAATCCCAGCTGTCTGACAGGACTGGCCACTCCGGGAAGGCCACGAAGCTCCTGCTGTGTCCCCTGTGCCAGCTCCACCACCCTCAAGGGGTGCTGAGGAGGTATAAAAGCCCCACGGGGCAGTGCTGGGCATGCAGTCRTGATGGGGTGGCCAGTCCTGCTGCTGCTGGCGGGTTTCCCTAGTGCTGCGGCGGGTGGGCAGGACCCAGGCTGGGGCTCCCATGCCGCCTCCGTCATCACTGTGTCCAACGGGGGCCCATGGGGCGACTGGGCCTGGCCAGAGACGTGTCCCGAGGGCTCCTATGCCGCTGGTGTCAGCTTCAAGGTAGAGCCTCGGTAACAGGATGGAGGCCAGGCTGGGGACGTGGCCCCACCAGAGCTCATCCCCGTCCCGGGCCCTCGCAGGTGGAACCGCCCCAGGGAGCGGCGGGGGACGACACGGCGCTGAACGGCGTCTGGCTGCTCTGCTCGCCACCAGGGGCCGGCGGCACCTCCTCCGCCGTGGAGTCACAGAGCGGCCGGTAAGCGCAGAGAACGCGGCGGCCGCGCAGGCCTCGTGCCCGCCCCTGCTCCCTGTGGCCCCTCTCCCCATAYGTCTAGGTGGGGCCGCTGGTCGGAGCCCCGCTGGTGTCCCCACCGAGGGCACCTGGTGGGCTTCGCCCTGCGGGTCCAGGCGCCCCAGCACCGGCTCCTGAGCGATGAAGTGGCCGCCACAAACGCCCGCTTCAGCTGCTCCAACGAGCATGTCCTAGAGGGGCCGGGCAGCGAGCGAGGCGAGTGGGGCGGCTGGAGCCTGCCCTGCCCAGGGCGGGTGTGCGGCATCCAGACACGGCAGGAGCCTCCGGGGGGGCTCCGGAGCGACGACACCGCCCTGAACGACCTACGTCTCCTCTGCTGCAAGAAGTGACCGCCCGTGCCCCACCACGGGGCCTTCTATCCCAGCGGAGACCCAGCCCCACAGCAGAGCCTTCTCCCAAAACATCTCCCTCCAGCAACATCTCCCTCCAGCCTCTGGGCCCTCACTATCTTGGGAAAGCCCTCTTGTCCTCATGGAGTGCCTCTCACAGGGCTCCTCATCCCACACAGGCTCGGAGAGTCCTCAGTCTCCCTGGGACTGACATCCTTCCTGCCCAAATGAGCTGGCAGTAAATAAGAGTCATGGAGACTCTGCTGGGATGTTGACAGCGGGACAAACTCTCCCCTTCCACATTTGTCTCACACCACTCGTATCGCAGCCAATAGCCTCAAGCTTCAATTCAATGATGATATTTGACCGAAGAATAAAAACAAATTAAAACCATCTCTTAGACTCATTATTTAAAGGAGCTAGATGCAATTAAAACCAGCCAACACGTGGCACAGTCCTGAGAAGATAAATGTTTTGACTGATCCATTTGTCTCACCTCTAACCCAGGGCTTTCATTGAGTGGCTTCTTGATATCATGATTACAGTATGTTATATGCTTGATTTATCATTTGTCAAAGGCACACCCTAAATCTCCCCAAAATATTTTCCTAAAGAGAGAAAAGTTCTGTTATCCTGAGTCAAATTTGGCTGGTCTTAATCATATTTTGCTCAGATTTGTTTTACATCAGATTTTTGCATTTGATGAATTTCCTGAATGCAAATCTTACATTTTCACCATGAAACAGAAGTAAGCATAGGCTTTGCCTTGTGTCATTTGATATTATGTCAGAAACGTAAGTGCCCGTATCCTTCAGGAAATACTTTGTTAGTCAGACAGGTTTATCCTGGAGTAACGGTTTCCATAAATATACCAAAATCTATATTGTGTGCTTCTGATAGATGAATATATACTGTGTGCCCTGGCCGTGAGCACATCACTCTCAGGGACATGGGACTGTGGGAGGCCCGCAATGGCTTCCCTCGTGGAGAGGGTGCAGCAGAGAAGGTGCAGAAGGATGGGAGGCTGTGGGCAGGACAGGTGGGGGAATCCAGCACTGCCCTGTCCCTGGCATGGAGGTGCCCCTTCTTGGGCAGGGCCTGCTGGAGCAATCCCCAGTGGTGCCCACAGCCAGGGCTGGGGTCTGAAGGGGAGAGCAGCTGTGTGAGAGAGAGAAAAACATCGTCCCAGGCAGGCACCACTGGGAGTTGAACCCAGGATCTCCTGTTTACTAGACAGGCGCTTTAACCAGCTAAGCCATGGCGCCCTGSTGCYSTGYRTGSCTGCTGCCCACRCTCACAGCACCCCAGGGTGGCCCTGCAGCACCTGCCTGTGGCCAACCCTTGCACTGCCGACCCCACAGCTGGAGACAGCAGCTGCACGAAGAAGAGCTGGGAGGGGAACAGCATGGAGATGGCGAGAGCTAGAGCAGGTAAACCCTAGCCAAAAAAAAATAGGTTTACGACGAGGGTGGGATTCGAACCCACGCGTGCAGAGCACAATGGATTAGCAGTCCATCGCCTTAACCACTCGGCCACCTCGTCTCGCCCTGCACTATCTGTTCCGCCCGCCCCACTGCACGTGCGAAGCCGCCGCCCGCGCCCACGCGGCCACGCCGCCCGCCCGC